TCGTTTTCCCTTTCCCCAAAGGGGGAGAAGGATTCGGAGCGGGGTGCAGCCGTGAACGACTACGACTCGTAAACCCAGCTGTGTTTCTAGCGGGAAAACGAATCCTTTCGCTGCTCCCGAATCCCTTCGACTTGTCGTTCCAGCCAGATGGCTGCAGGGACGCCTCTGTCCAGCGCGGTGCGGGGTCGCTCAGAGAACGTCAAAGCGGCCAAACCCTGAAGAAGACATCAGGAAAAACCTAGCAGAAAATCAACTTCATATGTGTGTGTGTGTGTGGCGGCATGCCAGGGAGGGGAGATGACAACCTTTCCTCTTTTTGATTGAAATGATTTTACTTCCGTGGCTAGGTGCCACTCTTGGTAGCCGGCTGGTAGCTCAGGATTCTGTCCTGGGATCCAGGGGGCTTATGTGGGCCATGGTACTCCATCTCTTGTTTCGGCAGATGATTTTAACACAGTCATCGGCCTGGAAAAAACAGGAGCAACCTAAACTGGTTGTTATTTCACCTTAGGTTGTGATGGAGGGGCTGTGAGAGGGCAGGCAGGCAAATTGCCGTTTTGATGTGCTTTGGAGAGGCAGGGGATGCTCACCAGCTCAGCTATCTCCCGATCCACGCTTAACGCCCGTGGCTGCATTGTTTAAAGAAAGGGGGGAGAAAGCAGGTCTTCGTTCCTCTGGTTCCAGCCACGCAGGCAGTGTTGTCCAGGTGGCACCAGGCCAGGGGCTGAGATGGAAGTGGAGAAGGCGACATCGGGTGAAAACCACCTCGGGGGGCTGTTGTTGCCCTTCCCTTATGCTGGGTCTTGTCCGAAACTCAGGGGACTCCCCTAGGCAAGAAACTGCTGCCTCCTTTGGGGCTTTCACTGCCTCCTGGGCTGATCTAGGTTGAAATCTCTCATGTTCTGTTCATACTTTGCAGCTACACGTCTGCTTCATGGATGAGAAAGTGGCCAACAGTAGGTCTGCAGTAAGAGGGTCTGGTTACAGGGCTTGTAGGTTAAGTGTGGAAGCCTTGACTGTAAAATGAAGCTGTTTGCCATTAATTGTTTATGCTGGTGGGCCATGTAGGGTCTACAACGTGCTGACAGATAGAGCCAGGTTTCAGACCGGGGGTGCCTAGATAATTTATGTATACAAAACCCAGGCTGACTGTAGACATGTCATCACTAAATGAGCTGGGAGTTTGCTGCCAAGTGTTATTTTAAGACTGGTTTGGATGTACTTATGTATGCGTGTGTGTGCGCATTGCTGTACAGGCGTGTGTATGTGTGTCTGTTTCTGAATGTGTGTGTATATAGACGCAAAGTTTTTTAGAGGTGTCTTCGTAAGAGTGTTTCTACCTACAGGCTTCTGCATGTTAAGATTTTGGCCAATTTGGAGAGTTTATAGGCAGAGTAAGCTGAAAGGTGTAAAAAGAGCAAAAAACTGTGGATCTCCTAGTCCCATTCTTGTGGTTAGTTTGCTATGCGCTGTGCTTATTTTCTGAAGAAAATAAGTGTGAATGTCGTACTGGATCGTCCTGTGAGTCTGACAGTGACGTTTCAGTTTCTGGGTAAGACTGGGTGGAAGCTCCTGTAAACGGGAAAGCAGAGGGTCAGTCCTTACGGTTGAGCGTGTGCAAATCAGATAACAACTGGCCTTGAAAATGCCACACCATCACTTGTACCAGTCTTCCCGCCTGTAACAGTTTATTAGGAAGCACGCAGTTGCTGATCCCAAATAAACACGTAACGTAACGCACGGCTCTGAGCAGGGTTTTGATTCAGCGTGTCCCGCTTGGAGGAGGCGGTGGTGGCACGGGGTCACGGCGGGGATGGTGGCAGGAGGAACCCGGAGTTCTCTTCTTCTGTTATCAGGCCAGCCCCAGCACGTCCCTGCTCCTTATCAGCCCTGGCAGAGCTGGGTCCTGCCGTGCTGAGCCTCCATACATCCTGCCCCTGGTGCTATAGGGGCCAGCCCTGCTGCCTCCGGTTTGCACGTAAAGACGGGCTGCGAGGCACGACGTTAGATATGTGGACAAGGCAGGACAGCTGCCGTAGGCACAGCGAAGAGGGGCGATGCTGGACCTCATCATTCTCAGCCTCCATTTCTTCATCTGCTTTCTCATCTCCGTTGCGATCTGGTGTGGACGAAAGGTACGGTGCGGCTCTTCGTGGCTCTGCACCCCTCTGCAGCGGGATCCCCTTTGGTCTCGGCATGTACAAAGGCCTTTTTTAGCCTGATTTTCTGAGGAAGCGAGGGTGGTATGGTTGTGCTGGGCATTCAGAGGGGACTGGAACACGGTAGCTAATTGTAAGCAAATTTAATAGGAATGCTTATGTCCTCTGCTGGGAGAGGGAGAGGCTATTAGACATTTGAAACAGGTAAGAGGAGGAAGGGAAAGGCAGACACTTTTGCTCAAAAGGCCAGGTTGAATACAGCTTCTCAATAAACAAATTTTTTTTCCCTTTTGCAGAGGAAATTTTTTATCAGGTTGTATCAGTCTGTATTTCTAGCCATAGTGTTATTTAAAGAGTATTGGATTCACATCTAAGTGCTACTCTTTTCCCTTTGTATAGCTAAACGGTATAGTATTTTACAAGTAGCGTCCTTGTATTTTTTTTGCATATAGCTTTCCAGGGGATAAGGCGATTAAAGTGCAGAGTAAATGAATAGTGATTGAGAATTTATCTTGCCTCAGCCTCAGGTATCAGGTCTGCAACAGCTGGTTTTCCTAGTCCCGGTTCTGTTAGTGAAGACGTTGGCTAAACATGATCACCCAACTCCTGTGCTTTGCTTCGTGTGCTCGTTGATAGTCTGTTACTAGAACTTCTGTTCCTTTCATCTCATGTGTTAAATGGGCTGGCTTTTTCTCTGAGACCGAGACATCCATTCTACACATAGAAATCCAAACATGAACTGCTTTATAAGTGGCTTTTTAAATTTTTTGTCTTTTAAGGATGTGGATTTGTGCAGCTCAAGCACAGGAGCAGTTGGGATGGAGCCAGATGGTCTTATATTGATTGGCAAAGAAGATGACATAAAGAAGTCCCGAAGAGTAACAGCCAAAGTCAACGGCAGAGAAGTTGTTGTTTTCTACCATGAAGGGAAATTTCATGCTATGGACTCTCGCTGCTACCGTAAGATATTTGCACATATGATCTCAATGTTGCAACAATTAAGCATAAAATCTGCTGCATAAATAAATACTGTGTTCTACTGTGTTTCAGATGAAGGAGGCCCTTTACGTCTTGGAGAAATAGAGGTACGTAAGCAAAATAAAAATAGTGTAGTGCCATAGAGTCATGTGAAAACTTGTAACGCATCTTTTTGAATACTTTTATCTGAACCTGACATCGAAACAAGTGGTTATATATGTAAAATAGCAGACAGCCATGCAGCCAAATCACCAAACATGTTTTTTGTCCTAGATACTCTTCCAGGAGAAGAATCAGAAGCTGATGACATGCTATTTTTTCTTCTTCTTCTTGCAGGATATTGATGGTCAAGCATGTATTGTTTGTCCTTGGCATAAGTATAAAATTACTTTGGAAACAGGAGAAGGATTATATGAAGGAATAAACCCTTTGGAGCCATCACCAACACCACAGTGGCAATCCAAAGGAGTCAAACAAAGGATTCATAAAGTCACAATAGACAATGGAAACGTTTATGTGAGTCCTCCAGATTTGTCTGTAAGCTTTGACTCAGATTATTTTGCTGACAAGTACAAAAATAGTGGTGATTTAGCTATGGAAAAACAAAGCAACTCACAAGCAGCAGAGTAAGTCACAGCCAGAAAGCAGAATCCTGGTGAATGCCCCAATGGAGAACCATTGTCGTGAAATAAAAATGTACTATGGCTGTGAAGATTGTCTACAGATTAAATTCTATTCTTAATGTTATGTGAAAGCATTGAAACACGTAGAATTCAGTAAGATAAGAAGCTCTGCATTGTCAGAAATGCGACTGATCTTGTGCCAATGATTTTATTTTTTTAACTTGCATTTCAAAAAGACTTGTTTACAGCAGAGTGCTTCATAATATTTAATATTTTAGAAATCTGATTTTGCTAGAATTGTTTTAATTTTTAGGAGGGAATGTAGTATGTTACTGCTTATAAAACACATTACACAGTTTAAGGTAAATAGTCAGGTGTAAAGGTTATGTTTATATACTTAACAGTTTATACTTATAATGCCTTCGGTATAAATGACATGGAAATGTTTAACTCTTTAGATATGTGAGCAATCTCTGGATGTTTAGTAAGTGCCACAAAGAGAAGTACAAAGCTTGAGCACATTTTAGTGACCTTTTTTATGCCTATTTGTGTATTACTACCATGAGTCCATAGAAGTACTGATTTTCCTTCTCCTCATTGAACTGCTTTTGGTAGTTCATCAAATAATGTGATGAGCATTTGTCATGTATAGTTTGTTCTCCTGATTCTGTTGGATAAGGAAGAAGCTGTTGGGTATAAAAACCTGATACGTAATGTAGTGGCTCTTGTCTGTTTGCTTTTATTTATTGTAAATACATCCTTATACATTCATTTGAAAAAGCGTGCTTTCTATTTAGAGCCAAAAGTTAGGTTTCTCTATGTGCGTTCACAGTCTAATATCAGATCTGCCCCAATAACCCCTCCAAGAAAGTTCCCCTCCCTGCTGTGCTGGGTGAGGGCAGGATGGGCTCTGGGACACGGTGGGTCCTCCTGCCCAGCCCATAGGGTCCAGGCTGCAAAGATACTGTGTGAATGCTTAACATTGCCTTGCACGGCTGCAGCTGCGTGGCTGCAACTCTTTGGGGTGCATTTTTGGGTGGTTTGTTGGCTGTTTGCAGAGTTTGGTCACGATCAGGTTCAGTTTGAAGTTGCCTGGTCTTCATCTGTAAGTTCCTCTTGTGCATGCGGTGGGTTGTCTTGCTTTTAATGGATGTGAAGGGTAGGTAGGTCTGTGTCAACACCATTGTTCATATAAATGCATTTAAAAGTAGTGAGGCATAGGGAAGTATCAGAGGAAAACATCTGTGCCCAACTGATCACAATGAAAAAAGCAAAGCACACAATCAATTAATTTCACCGTATTTAAATTTAGATCTCCACCTCTGATCATGCCTCCTTACATTGTTTTCATGGTTGACAGGGAGACGTGGCACCTTCACAGTGCCATTGAGATGACCTGTTTCAGTTTTCTATTTTATAAGGACTACAGCACAGAAATGCTTTCTTCCTCCTCCTCCTCTTCCTCTTGCTGGCCACTTAGCCAGTGCCGATGAGATCAGATGCAAATGCCTGCCTTCTGAATCACGTCTCGATCGTCCGCTAGGAAATGCTGTTACGTACTGACCAGTTCTGTGGGGGTTTTTTGTTTGTGTGTTTTCTTCGGTTTTTAAAGGAATACATAACCTTCTCTTTCTCACTCCTCTTGCAGCCACAGGGTAGATGTCAGGAAGGTGAGGCAGGTGGGGAGGTGACACAGCTGATACTCCGAGGGTCCGGAGCACGCATCCCTTTGGGCAGCGCAGGGGGGTTTGGAGAATTGCTTCGCTTCCCTCCCTCTTCACCCAACTACCTGCACCTGCGATGAAACTTAACCATGGATGTCTTGTCCTATTGAAAGACATGGATCATATAAAAAAAAAGTAGTATAAGATCTTCAGATATACCTGCATTGACTCATGTGGTTGCTTAGATAGTATTTTTATTTCTTTTTTTTTTTTAATGTACCGCATTAATAGAAATGGACTATTTAAATAAATAAAGATGCAGTTCAGTTTAAGAAAGTATCAATTATGAGTAATAGGCTGTTACATGTATGACATTTAGTAGAATGTTAGTAGTAGGAGATTTTGTTTGCAAGTTTCATGAACATGTTCATATTTGTGGAAGAATGGTCAGGCTTTTTTAAAACTGCATTTTCTGGGTAAAGTCCAGCAAAGTGTTTAATCATATGTTTGCTGTTAATCATATGAAATCAGTAGAGCTGCATGTCTAGGCTTAGATAAGTCCCTTTTCTTCAGTACTTCTCAATCATAATAACTATCTGCAAGCTTTTAAGGTGTTTTTTTCTTTTACTTTAAACATGTTCTTATTCTCGGGAGGATCGCATTGATTTAATATCTACAGTTTGTCAGTTAGTTTGCTTTCCCCACAATTTTCTCATTGATGATCACAGAAGGAACAGAGAATTATTAACTCAGGTGGCTGTGAACAAAGGAGAGAGAGTTGGCTGGCTGTTAGATTCTCTTTTTTTTATTATTTTATTTTTCAACAGCAAAGAACAAAACCTACAGCGTGTTAAAGTTGCTATCTTTAAAAAAATATACTCAGTATTCCATTTTATTTGTCTGAGCTTTGAAGTGCTAGAATACACACCTAATTTGAAAGTATGGTAACCATTTAATGTCCCAGAGTTGGGCATTTCTGAGTTTCTTGTCCTGCCAGCCCTTTCTAGGTTTCTAGTTATACTGATATATCGCGTGAAGACATGGAAAACACAAGGGTTATCCTGAAAGGGAGCCAGTCAGGGGGTTGGTAGGGAAGAATGGAGGGGAAACATGGGGAGATGTGGGATGTGATGGGAGAGCAGGGACGGCAGGCACCGGAGCTGGGTGAGAGGTGAGGAGGATCAGGATGGGCGAGAAGAGGAGGTGTTGGTACTCGTGGGGGAAGGAGACTTCAGTGGGGAAAAACCAGGACAGGCAGCAAAAGGCACTTTTGGGAGTGAGGAGACTGAAGCAGAGTGGGGGACCGAGGGCTGTCCAGGGAACTGCAGGTGGGGATGGAGGAAGGCTGGGACCTGGCCGTTTGCAATTAGAGACTAATAGCAGGGCAGAGGAGGGAGATGAGGAGTGGTTAATTAAGGCAGTGAGACTGAGGTGGCATTTAAGGGACAATGCAGAGACAGAAGGAATGAGTAGTTGTGGGCAAAGGACCAAAAAGTCACTGGCTGGATAATTAGAGCTTCCTGGAGAGATGTGTTAATGAGAGCAATGTTAAGATCAACCCTCCAAATCATGCAGGAGGAGTGTTTTGTTGGTGATAATTTTGGGGGTTTAGTTTAATTTGACAAATGAGCAAACACCATCTGTTTTCCCACCATTAATCAGCCAGGCGAAGAACAGAGAAATGTATTTTGTGCTGTGGATTGAAAATTTTCATGATGACTCTGCAAGACATTCTGGCTCTGTAAGCTGCTTTAACAAGCAGCTTGAACAGAATAACAAGTTATATTTATCCTATCATGGAGCCATCTTTTCAAGAAAGTCAGGTGAAAACTATGACTAGTAGTTTGAACTGCAGCTTGAGCCTTGACATGATGTAGTGGCACCATAAACCTTAATTAGACAATACTAACTGTAAAGCTGGATGCTGTATGTTTTCCTTCTGCATGTAGTGCCTTGTTCCGCCATGTCCCCTTGACCTGATTTAGTGCTGCGCACGAAATAAAGGACACCTTCAGTGTAAAAAGTGTTCCAAAGGCAGGACTCAGAAGTTTATGAGCGTACCCCATATGGAGCACATATGTTGGTGACAGCAGTCTTTGCAGGATAGGAGATCACAACAGGCAGGAAAAAATGTGTAGTCTATAGGAAACCAATTTTAAAACCAACCTTTCACTGTTGAAGCCCTTTGCAATAGCAAATTGTACAGTTCCCAATTTCATGCTGAATTTTTGAATGAAATCAGGTCTGAAGTTTGCACCTGTGCTTTCTGATATGGTTTGGAAAAGTAACTCTCACTATTCCCCTGAGATCGTACAATCACAAGCTGTGAGAGTCAGCACTCGCCAATTCCCAAGTGTCCCATCGCTCTGCCCACTTGGCTTGGCAGCTGCTTTCGAAGGTTAGGGGAGGGAGCAGGGGATGGGGAATGGAAATAATATTGCTGGAGAGGTACTTAAGCCTCTGGCTGTGTGTGGGGAGAGGGGATGTGTGTGGGGAGAGTGCCCTTTGCTGGCCGTGCTGTGGGAGAGCCGGTGTCATAACCTGACTGCCCTGAGGGGTTATGCATCGGTAAAGGTTGAGGCTGTCGGGCAGGTCTGGGTCACAACAGTGCCCAGATCCCTCCCTGGCTGCCTTACTTCCACCCATCTGGTTTTTAAAGCGGGTCCCTGTACAATGCCAGACCAATGTCCACAGGATAATGTTTGCAAATGGGAGACAAAAGAACCGTACCCATTGAGCTCCAGTAGGGAGAGAGTTAAACCAGCCAAACATCAGGATTACTAACGTATGTATACTTTATTAAGCATCTAAATACTTGCTAATGCTTCCTACCTTAGATCTGCCAGATCTAACTCCATTCAAATAATGGTGGATAAAAGCCGTTATGAACTCCGTGTTGATAAGAGCGATGATAATACAGATATCGCTCATGGTTACAATGGAGGCGACTGGCAATGTCATCCAGTCGAGCGTCCCTGGCCGGGAGGACGTCACCACGTCAGTGAGATCCTCAGCTGGCTCTGTCCTCAGGTCAGCTCTCGGAGAGAAGCTTTACCTCCGCGCAATTACTTGCAGCTGTGATGCGAAAGCAAACCACAAACCACAGGCGGGCTTCCATCAAAGAGTGGTGCAGCTCTCTGTCTTGCCCGCGGTGGCAAGGTGCTCGTGGTTTTGTGTCAGCAACGTTTGCAAGGAGAAGGGGGGGTTCAGTCACCACAGCTTGGTCCTACAGCCGATCCCACCGATGGGGTCTTCCCTGTCCCGGCTGCATCCGAGGCATCGGGGGTGAGTGGCTTTCTGCCGGGGCAGCAAGTTCAGCCGGCTGCGCCAGTGGTTAAACCGGCACCGTGCTGAGGGCGCAGGGATGCAGAAGTAGGGGAGGCTTAAGGGGGTGTGATGGGTTGGGTCAGTTCTTTGAACTCTGTCCAGCAAACATTGGTTTTTATGTGGCATTTATTCATGCAAACCTACTGATGCCGTTAAGTGGAATTTTTTACTTGAATGAAGAGTTAAGCACAGCTTTCAACATCTGACATCTAGGCTAAAAGTGAAAGTGCCAGTTTTGCTTGTAGGTACACAAACTGGGTAATTGGTGCGGATAGCCTCATTAGCCCATTAATGACTCTTCTTCCATGAGATGGAGACAGTCCCCTGACAAGCACCGGCTGTGATACTTGAACAGTGGGACTGGTCTGCTAAAAGAGATGTTTGTTGTTGCAAACCGTAGTAGTTAGAAATCTAAGGCTTATGAAGGAAAGACTACTCCAGAAATAATTATCCTACATGAAAGTTATGGTAAAATGTGTGTTATCTTATTTAAAAAGAAAAAGTTAAAAATAATTTAACTCTTAGATTACAATCAACTTTTGCTGAGGCTGTGGTTTACTAAAGACCCAGACAACACAGAGGTTACAGGTAAAGGCAGTATCTTTTTATTAAGCCAGCCACTGTAGTTGGAAAAACAACTAGAGCTTTTAGTCACACTGAAGTAGGGCCATAGCACCTGAAGGCTTTTCTGTTTTTTTTCATGTGTATATGTGACTTATTTAACAGGAGATACTACCTCTGCTTGCAGATGTCCTGCCTTGATTTCAGTTAGTATCCAAGACACATAGATACATCCCCATTCAAGTAAAAAGTATCATCTTTTTTATTACGGTGTATACTGAACATCCTGAAAATACTGCATGCTTATTTGGCACAGATAGCTCCAGGAAAAAAAATTGCATAATTCTGTAGCTGCATTTTGGCCCAGAAAAGGACAGAAGAGCAGTGCAGTGGTTGGCTTGCCCTATATTGATTGTATGGCCTTGCAGCGTTCCTGGCACTGGACTGGCTCAGCAGCCAAGAAACCAGCACCATCATCTGAATTTGAAAAGCAATAGACATCCAGGATGAATACCACCTCCCAGGAGGCTGTGTCAGCTTGCAGTGCTCACGGTATTTTTCATGACACTGAACACTGGAAGAAAACGTGAAGCTCACCATCAGTTTGGAGATGCAGGTGTTCACACAAATTTTTGTCATCAGTTTACATGTGCTAAGTGGAAAGGAGGATTGATGTTAACTAAATTCATGTGCAAGGTCCTGCACCTGCGTTGGGACAACCCTCACTATCAATACTGGCTGGGGATGAAGGGATTGAGAGCAGCCCTGCCAAGAAGGACTTGGGGGTACTGGGGGATGAAAGGTGGGATGTGAGCCGGCAATGTGCGCTTGCAGCCCCGAAAGCCAACCGTATCCTGGTCTGCATCCAAAGCAGCATGGCCAGCAGGTCGAGGGAGGGGATTCTGCCCCTCTGCTCTGCTCTGGTGAGACCCACCTGCAGTTCTGCATCCAGCTCTGGGGTCCTCAGCACAGGAGAGACAGGGACCTGCTGGAGCGGCTCCAGAGGAGGGACACGAAAATGGTCAGAGGGATGGAACAGCTCTCCTGTGGGGAAAGGCTGAGAGAGTTGGGGTTGTTCAGCCTGGAGAGGAGAAGGCTCCACAGAGATCTTACTGCAGCTTTTCAAAGGGGGCCTGTAAGAAAGATGAGGACAAACTTTTTAGCAGGGCCTGTTGTGATAGGACAAGGCGTAATGGTTTTAAACTAAAAGAGGGTAGGTTCAGACTAGATACAAGGAAAAAATTTTTTACAATGAGGGTGACAAAACACTCGAGCAGGTTGCCCAGAGAGGTTGTGGATGCCCCATCCCTGGCAGTGTTCAAGGCCAGGTTGGATGGGGCTTGGAGCAACCTGGTCTAGTGGAAGGTGTCCCTGCCCACGGCCAGGGGTTTGGAACTAGATGGTCTTTAAGGTCCCTTCCAACCCAAATCGTTCTGTGATTCTGTGATCCTATGTAATGTTGTACTCCTGGTTATTTTTTCTGTTGCTTTTTAAATAATTGATTAACTATAAAGACAAAACATACTGGCATTTAAAAATGTTTGCTACTTCTGTGTTGATCTCTTATCCCAATGGGCCTTGCTTCTGTAATTTGGACAATGCAAGGTTTAACAGTAATTATCTGTTCATTTTTATGGACAGGTTTTACACAATTTTTCTTTGCTGTGCAGAACGGAAGAATCCTTTCCAAGAACATTCATAGCAGTAAAATACAGTAAGTCAATATTATTGCCTCATATAGCCTGCATTTTAAAATTTTATCAGTCAGTTCCCTGGTGAATAATATTATGTGTACTTCACAGCTGTGAAACTGAAGCAGAAATTAACATTTGAAATGTTCCCTAGTTGGGGTATAGATGAGTATTCCTCTAGAAAAAAAGTGTAAGTACTGAAAATGAAACAAAAATAATACTAAATGGGTTTTTGGCATT